TATAAAAACTAGTATTCACTAACTAAACAAAGTCCAGAGGCTCAAGTAAATATTACTGAGATTCTAAATATCAAATAAAGCATCATGCATAACCATTTAATGCATATCATACTATATTATCTTCTTTGAATCTGCATTTCACTGGTAAGATATTATGCTGATAATGAGGTAAGATACTATATCAGCTTTCACTGTGCCACTTAATAAGCTAGGAAAACATATAAGTCAGAAGTTGACCTTTTCCTTTCATTATCTTTTAGAGTACGAAAAATAAGAGTCTGAAGAGTTGAGAGATTAGTGAACAAGCAAAACATCTCTCTTTGCAAGCACCTCCTTATCTCAATGGCGGCAGCTCACAGGTCACTTCTTCTTTGGATGGTTTTCAATGTCTACTTGATTTCCTTGACCTCAGCTCAAGATGAAAACCAGTTCATCTACCATGGCTTCAGCGAATCCAAGCTGCATCTGGATGGCATGGCAGAAATCCTCTCCAATGGTCTACTGCAGTTAACCAACGCTACCCAACTTCAAACGGGCCATGCTTTCTACCCATTTTCATTCAAGTCCAACGTATCATCCTATAAATCTCTTTCTTTTTCAACAAATTTTGTATTTGGAATAGTTCCAGATCCTAATAATAAAAATAGTGGCCATGGCATGGCTTTTGTCGTCTCACCATCCCTGGACTTAAGCAAAAGTAAGCCAACCGCATATTTGGGACTCTTCAATTCTTCAAACTATGGCCTTTCAACAAACCACATCTTGGCCGTTGAGCTTGATACTGTACAATCCGCCGAATATAATGATATAAATGGAAACCATGTGGGAATAGACGTAAACAACCTGGAGTCTAATGAATCTGCTACAGCAACTTATTTTTCCGATAAAGAAGTGAAGAACATAACCTTGGAGCTAGCAAGTGGAAATCCAATGCAGATATGGATTGACTTCGATGAAACCGAGAAATTACTCAATGTAACACTTGCTCCAATCAGAATCCCGAAACCAAACAGGCCCCTCTTGTCAACTTCCATTGATCTTTCTCAAATTTTCTTGGACTCTATGTATGTTGGTTTTTCTGCATCAACAGGTGAACTTGTAAGTGGCCAGTATATTCTTGGATGGAGTTTCAACAAAAGTGGACAAGCACAAAATCTTGATATTACGAAGCTTCCTTCACTTCCTGGCAGAGGATCAAAAAAACGAATTTTAAAGATTATTGCTTCCCTCATAGTAGCAGTGGTTGTGCTTATAGCAATTGGTGCAACAGTGTACATTTTTCAGAAGAAGAAATACGAAGAAGTATTGGAAGACTGGGAAAGACAATATGGTCCTCATAGGTTCTCCTATAAGAATCTCTACAAAGCAACCAAAGGTTTCAATGACAAAGAGCTTATTGGAGAAGGAGGATTCGGTAAGGTTTACCGAGGTGTACTTCCTTCTTCCAATGAACAAATTGCAGTCAAGAAAGTCTCCCATGATTCCAAACGAGGGATGTCAGAATTTGTGGCCGAGATAGTCAGCATGGGAAGGCTAAGACATAGGAACTTGGTACAACTCCGTGGCTACTGCAGGAGAAGACAGGAACTTATATTAGTCTATGATTATATGGCTCACGGAAGTCTTGATAAAATGTTATATAGCGATACAAGACCAGGCCTTAATTGGTTTCAGCGATTTCGAATTCTCAGAGGAATAGCTTCTGGCCTTCTCTACCTTCATGAAGATGGGGAGCAAGTTGTTCTGCATAGAGATATAAAGCCTGGTAATATTCTTTTAGATGTTGACTTAAGTGGAAAATTAGGGGATTTCGGCCTTGCCAGGTTCTATGATCATGGTAGCAATCCAAAAACCACAAACCTGATAGGAACTTTGGGTTATCTGGCTCCAGAGCTTCTTAGGACTGGAAAGGCTACTAAAACCACAGATGTGTTCGCTTTTGGGGCTTGTGCGCTTGAGGTAGCTTGTGGGAGGAAGCCTATGGCTATAGATCCTGGAAACCTAAATTTGGTTGATTGGGTCATTGATTGCTGGAAAAGAGGAAATATTCTTGATGCTACTGATCCAAGATTGGAAGGTCTTTATGCAGAGGAGCAAATGGAGTTATTTCTGAAACTAGGCCTGTTTTGTTCACATCCAAACCCAGCAGCTAGGCCTAGCATGAGGCAGGTGATGCAGTATCTGGATGGTGATGTCATGTTACCACATATAACACCTGATAGCCCTTTGATTGCTGCATTCACCGCAAGCAATGAAGCTTCTAATGTTCCGGTGACTTTTGCTGTATTGCTGGAAAGTGGTTCTTCCCACACCACGTCAACTGTTGAATCAATTCTCATAGAAGGTCGTTGAATCAACTATCTTTTGGAGTTTCATGTACATGTCTTTCATCTAAAAGTTGACTACTTAGTCCATGATTCATGCAAGCCCAGAAAAACTGACATTAACAGTAGAAAAGTGCTTGTGCCTAATCAAGGGTCATAAAGCTGCAGAAGACAAAACAAATAAAAGAGTTGTAAGCTTAATCTCATATGTATGATCCTTTTTTGTTCATAAAAATTCTTTTTTGCCTTGGTTAAGGTCTCATGGTTTCTTTCTTTTTCTCTGTTTTTGTTTTTTCACTTTTAATCTGTACTCGTGGAAAATAATATGAATGAAATTACACATCTCAAGCAGTGGTTTAAGCATATCATTTGGAGGGACTTTTTCTAACTAAGATCATATACTAACCTCATGATATCATCTTGGAGTTTAGATCTCAGCATCTCAGTATTACACAACACATAATTTCTATCCTCTCAGCTACGCCAGTTCAGTACCCTGCATTTCTGAGGGAAAAAAAAAAAAAACCCCCGGTTTAATGGCTAATATAGAATGCAAAGCAAGTGGCCAACACACATGGTTCTACTTAAAGACGACATGCTGCCTTTGTTTAACTGCTGCGAATGAGATCTCATTCATTTCTAGGACGACTTCTTGTGCCTTTGTAAGGATTATTTGTCGTTCATATCTTTGCCCCAAAGAAAGATACTCGATGTAAAGCATCAATGGCCCACTTCCTTCCAAGTCGGAGCTCGCATCCTTCTATATACCATATGTCACGATATGTTCTTCCAACTCGAAGCTCCTATCCTTCTATACGACATGTCACCCTATAATATATTTTATGCTCAGAAACTGTTTGTTAAATTCCTTAGACAAAGCTGGTCCGGGCCTACGCTTGACGTGGCTATCATCAGGAAGCAATGCCTTCGTTTCATTGAATGCAAATGTGGGCATCTGTTTGATCATTGAATTTGGAACCGGGGAGAGATGCACTGCACTTTGGGACTTTAGATATTCTTAGTAATAAACGAACTTATCATGCCTACTTATTGTGTAAATAATTTAGGGGTGTTCGGTTCTGGGTACCCTGTATTTTTTTAAGGAATTAAAACCAAAATCAATGGTTCCTTAAAATTTGGAACCAGAATCGGAACCGACATTTCTGGTTCCTAGGTACCCAGAACCAGAACCTGTAACAACAGTTTTGGTTCAAATTCTGGGTACCCTATAAAATTACAATGACCCCCAAAAGTTTTTAAAATAGCAAAAAAACTCTTAAAAACTTACAAATACCCCCCCTCCCCACCTGGCACTTGTTAACAAAAATAAAATTACAAATTATAAATTACAAATTACAAACTCCATTACTTTGTAAAGGTAGATTCTCAAAAGTTAAACCAACTTACTTTAAATGTTATCAAATATAAATATAAATGTATTAACATTCCTTTTTCTATAAAAGTTTTTATTAACCCCCCTAATCTTTAATTTTATTTTATATTAGTCTCGGTTCCTGGTTCCGATTCCAGTTCCTAACTATAGGAACGGGAACCGAAACCGCACAATAACGGTTTCAAAAATTTGGAATAGGAACCTACCTGTTGACGGTCGGTTTTGAGTAAGAATCGGAACCAAACCTTGAGTACCCACCGGTTCCGGTTCTAACAGATTCTTTTGAACACCCCTAGTAAATATCATCTCTTTAAAGCACCATTCAATGATACAGGTGAATGGACTGTAGAAATGTAAATATCATCTCTTTAAGGCTTTGGAGCCCATGGAGAGGAACTGAAGTTGACATCCCACATTTCACTACTACGGTTGTACCTAATTTCTATGCTAAAATATGGCTCTGGTTATACACGTGTTTTAAGAGTTGAATCAAAGTTTGATGCAGGCTGCATGCCAACTCAAGGTCAATGGTGATTTAAGATTCCTTGAATTTGTTTGTATTCAAACTTCAACCCATTGTGAAAACAAAAGAGGTATAGTTGCATTATTCAAAGTTCAAACAATAAAACAAATTAGAATCAGAATCCTTAAATCTTGGAAGCACAAGAGTCTTGATCCGATCCGAAAATCCGGATCTTCCTATATACTTGATCCAAATCCGATCCGATTTTTCAGATATCTGGTTTTTTCGGAGCAGAGCAGATCTGGATCGGATATTGGATTTTTTTGCACGCCCCTATATAAGACGGACAACACAGCTTCTGTTTTATCAATCAAAAAGAAGAATTTCTACTAGAAGATATTATTATGCTTATGTTAGTCCTGTCATTGAATTCAGCATAATTCACATCATTTTTTTTTTATCTATCAATTTCGAAGGGGAAAACTTGAAAAGTAATTTGTGAATTTCCTTCTTTGAACATGACATGATTCTGGCCTACAGGATTATTTTAACAGATTACTGCAGTTCAGAGTTCCCATAAGATGGTCCTGTACTATGCCTTTTAAAAAGCTGGGAAGCAGTGGATCTGCATTAATTATAACCTTGAATTGATAGAAGTCTAGAATATATCAGTTCCAACTTTTTCATGCAACTAGAGACAAATAAACAACATTAAGAACATTAAATTGGTTAAACAGGGGTCATTTTCTTGGGTCATCAGTTGACCATAACTTCCGGGATCGACGTGATTAATCTTACTCTCTTTCTAGATGATAATTAATCTTAACTCTGAAAAAGTATCTTCAGGGTAGGAAAACTAATTTATCAGGATTTTCAGATTTGTTATTCCAATGGCTGCAGCTCATAGATCAATTAATTTTTTGGTAATTTTCATTTTATCCTTGTTTTCCTTGGCCTTGGCTCAAGATGAAAACCAATTCATCTATCATGGTTTCAGTGAAACAAAACTGGATTTGGATGGCATCGCAAAGATCCACTCCAATGGTCTATTGCAGCTAACCAATACTTCTGAGTTACAGATAGGCCATGCTTTCTACCCTTTTCCATTCAAATTCAACATATCATCCCCTCAATCTCTTTCATTTTCTACAACTTTTGTATTTGGCATAGTTTCAAAAACGCTTAATTTTGGTGGCAATGGCATGTCTTTCTTCATCTCACCATCTAAGAACATGAGGGAAGCTGTTGCTGGTTCATATTTGGGGCTGTTCAATGCATCAAGCAATGGCCGGCCTACGAATCATATCCTGGCAGTTGAGCTTGACACTGTACAAAGCCCCGAATTTAAGGATATAAATGGAAATCATGTGGGAGTCGATGTGAACAGCTTGAAGTCTAATGAATCTGCTGTAGCAACTTATTTTTCCAACAAAGAAGGGAAGAACATAGGCTTACAGCTAGCAGGTGGAGACCCAATTCAGATTTGGATAGACTACAATGGAGCTGAAAAGTTCCTCAATGTAACACTAGCTCCCTTGGGAATCCCAAAACCAAACAGGCCTCTCTTGTCAACACCCATTGATCTTTCTCAAATTCTCTTGGACTCCATGTATGTTGGTCTCTCTGCATCAACTGGTACACGAGTAAGTGACCAGTATATTCTGGGATGGAGCTTTAACAGGAGTGGGCAAGCTCAAAACCTTGATATTTCCAAGCTTCCTCCATCTCCTCCGCCACCCAAAAATGCAAGCAATAAAGTACTAGATTGTACAACTGTTGTTTCCCTTATAGCTACTGTAGTTGTGCTAATAACAATTGGTGCAGCCGTTTACATTGTGAGGAAGAAGAAATATGAAGAAGTAAATGAAGACTGGGAAAAAGAATATGGTCCTCATAGGATCTCCTATAAGATTCTCTTCAAAGCAACCAAAGGTTTCAAAGACAAAGAGCTCATCGGACAAGGAGGTTTTGGAAAGGTTTACAGAGGTGCACTTCCTCCTTCTAATTTGCAAATTGCGGTCAAGACAGTCACTAATGATTCAGTTGGAGGGATGAGGCAATTTGTGGCTGAGATTGTAAGCATGCGAAGACTAAGGCACAGGAACTTGGTACGACTCCTTGGCTATTGCAGGCGAAAGGGAGAACTTCTATTAGTCTATGATTATATGCCTAATGGAAGCCTTGACAAAATCTTATATGGAAATTTGGAGCCAAACCTTAATTGGTTTCAGAGGTTCCGGATTATCAGAGGAGTAGCTTCTGGCCTTCTTTACCTTTATGAAGAGTGGGAACAAATTGTTCTGCATAGAGACATAAAGCCTGCTAATGTTCTTTTAGATGTCGATCTAAATGGGAAGTTGGGAGATTTTGGCCTCGCTAGATTATATGATCAAGGCAGCGACCCACAAACCACCAACCTGGTAGGAACCATAGGTTATTTGGCTCCAGAGCTTCTTAAAACTGGAAAAGCAACTACCAGCACAGATGTATTTGCTTTTGGAGCTTTTATGCTTGAGGTTGCTTGTGGAAGGAGGCCTATGGCTATGGAGCCTGGAGAGAAAGATTTGGTTGATTGGGTCACAGATTTCTTGAAAAGAGGAGCTATTATTGATGCTAGTGACCCTAGATTGGAAGGTATATACGTTGAGGAGGAAATGGAATTGGTTTTGAAACTAGGCCTCTATTGTTCAGACTCTAACCCAGAAAGTAGGCCTAGCGTGAAGCAGGTGATGCAGTATCTGGATGGTGGTGCGATGTTACCAAATACACCACCTGGTAGCATTGTCATTGCGAATCCACAACACGTACACCCCTCACAATGTTGTGTCATTTCATTCACTGGGTGGGTAGTTCTTCTACACAAACGCTACAAATGATTCAACCTACAGTAGGTCGCGATGATCAAGAATTTTGTTATGCAATGGCTTGATCTTTGGTCCACATGTCTGGGGAGTGGAGAAAAAAAATGCAAAACTAAGTGAGATATTTTGCTGCTCTATGTACTTCTGTGCATTTGATAACGGTAACATTGCTTGTGTTCTAATTAAACTCACGAGGTATTCTGTAAAATAATCTGGTTTTTTGTTAGATATCATTTTTAATTCTAGTTTGCTATTACTGAATGCAATGGCTTCCGTATCAATGTTAGAATAGGTAGCTCTTAATAACCATAAAATACTATGACCCCTAACGGAGAATCAAGAATTTTGTGTAGTAGTTTTATGCAAAAGGGTTTGATTAAATTAATAATTTAATGCAAAAAATAAATTTTGTCTGAGTCTCTACTCATCATATTCTGCATATTCGAAATTAATAAACTTGTTGGATATTCTCCTAATGTAAATGAGATTTGAAGCACAAAGTAACCCTAATTTTTCTTAGTTTGATCTAAGTATCTCCAAGAACTCTTTATATAACTCAAACTTTTATTGTAAATAGTTTATCATAAAATAATAATTCATAAAAGCTCTTTATTTTAAAATAAAATTAGAGAGTGAGTTGACTCTCTACATTTAAAGAGTTAAATTTCACTTTCTATCCTAATTTTAATTAATAATTTATATTCCTATACATTTTATTTATTAATTCTCTTTTATTAAGTCCTATTTTTTAAATAAAGAATATCTTTATTAATTTAAAAAGTTTATTAATTTGAATAAAAATTATATTTTTTATATTTAAAATTTAATAAAAATACTCTTCAAGATGCTCTAATATCACCTAACAATTTCAGTCTCATCGGAACAAAACAGGAGAGTATTTGCGTTGAATTCAACTTATACAAAAGCCACCATCTTAAAGTTCCACCCTATAGAGGCTGGCTGACTTCTAACAATGATTTGCAAATAAAGGATACACAACATCAAAGCCTTCATTTTCAGTGCACCTCAGAGGGATTGAACATCTCGCGGTACATCGAGCCGCCAGTTTTACTTTCAGTACCATTTCTGCCTTGCAATACTCTACCAAACTCATGCTAAAAGTGTAAATACGCAGCTATCAAGACCCTAGATTCAAATTGTTGCTGTCAAGATTGAAAAAATGTGGTGAGCTGTCTAATTCATCGTCATGGAGGCTTTTATAGGATAAATTTTAAATGATTAATGTTGATTGCGTGATTTGACATCAATTATTTACACGTATAAAATGTTAAATGTGTCTTAAAAATATAAGTGATTACTTAAGATTTGGATAAGGTAAGTAATATACAAAGACTAATAAAAATGAGACAGAGAGAATTTTATAGGATTCGTTTGTTTCATTATTTATCACTATTCTATCCCTATTCCAAACAAATTCATGTTATTTCCTTTTTTCAAAATCCTATCTTAAATAAAAAACTTTTAAACCCCATAAGTTTGTTAATTGAAAAATACCCTACAACAAAATAATTTATAAATTAACAAAACACCTCATCATCCATAGTTGTCAGATTCCCAACCACTGTTGGTGATGGCCAGAATCTGTCACAACGGCCCACTACGCCGAAACTATTTGTAATGAACCTTCTGGCCTTTCCGACTAGATCCACGGTGGTCTACCGTAAGCCACGCCAAAGAAATGGCCATCGACAGCCAAATCTGGCCTTTTTTGCCGTCGACGATAAAATCTAGCGTACATTCTGCTTTTTTGCCAGATCGTGTGGATCGGGTCGAGAAAAGGGCCAGATTGATGCACAACCTGCTAGATCCGATCGTTATGCTACTTAACGCCAGATTTTGACCATATTTTGGTAGTGGTAGCTGGAATTTGCATTGTGGTAGGTGGGGTGTTTTTGTCATTTTACACAAAAAATTATATATTGGGGTGCTTAGTTAAATTAACAACCTATGAGGTTTTTTTTGTTAATTTTTAAATTTTACCTTGTTAATCACCCACACTCTACCTACCAATAATTTCAAAATAATAAACAAAGACAACCCGAATGGTTCAATGCTTAGAGCGATTCCTACATCTATTTTCTCTTTATATGAGTGTTCTTGTTATAAGCTAAGTTGCAATAGGTCGCGAACTGCGAACATAAGTACAAAGCTATAATTAAGAGAGAATATTAATAGTCTTTTCGTAGGTTGTCTTTGCTATTTGCTTTTATAAAATCGAGATCCCCTTGTGAGAGGGAGTCTTCTATTTATACCTAAATTCAAGTAATGATTACAATCTCAAGTAGTTAGTGTCATAAGTCTTCTTGTGTCCTATTGGCTGTAACTTAGAAATATCCTTAAATTATATAGGTTGGACAGGTGTGCGGACCTTACTCATTTACAGACTAAACTTGACTTGCTGAGTTGTGACGGCCGTATTCTCTCTTTTGGGGGATGTGACATTCTGAGACCAAAACCTTTTTAACTCTGTTGTGCTCGTTATATACTTATGTACCTCTGATTTTTTAGGCATACAATTGACATCCTCGACTCCTTAAATTATAATACTAGAATAACATCCAAAAAAACCAAGATATTAGCATATAACAAGAGTGGTTTGTTTCAACCAAGTGGTTGAAGAACAGATATCTACAAATGGTCTGAATTCGTTTCTTTATAATTTGATAGTCATGAAAACAAATTGACTTATATTGGTTGTTTATTTGTTGGCAAAGATCATTTTTTTGTTTTTTTTTTTAGCAGGGTGTTTAGGTCAGTTTGTATCATTCAATAATTTAATCTTAAAGTTGTAACTTGGTAAATCCTCAATAGTCTCTCATTAACAATTAGTATCAAACTTGATCTCTTGATAATAACCAGACTTCTATTAACTATTGGGCCACCACAGTGGTTAGAAGATCAATTTTTCTTCTTCTGGAATTCATTAAGTGATGTGAATCCAGTTTAGACCCTTGAATTGAAATCCGGAGTTGGCAGTAATATTTCTCCTTGTTTCTTGCGTCCAAGACTATACTTCATAGACATACATCAACATTTCAATTTACTTTAAACAAATTTATCTCTCTTTTAAACAACCAACCAGCAGCAACACCTTTTCCTCTCCACAAAAGACAATTTTTTCACCTTTTTTTTTTTTTTTTCCTTTTTCATTGATGGCTGCAGCTCTTAGATCAGTTTACGTTTGATGATTTTCAGTTTATCCTTTATTTTCTTGTGCTCATCTCAAAATGAAAACGATTTCATCTATAATAATGGCTTCCATGAAGCCAATCTACAACTGGATGAAATATCAATAATCCCCCCAATGGTCTATTGCAGCTAACCAACACTTCTGAGAGGCAGCAGGTCATGCTTTTTATCCTTCCCAATCAAATTCAACACATCTTCCCCTGAATCCTTTTCCTTTTCCACGATTTGTTTTTGCCATAGTTCCAGAATCGGTTAATATTGGTGGCCATGGCATGGCTTTTGTCATCTCACCTTCGATGGATCCAAGCTACTGAAACTTCATATTTGGGGCTCTTCAACCCTACTAACGTGGCCGTCTACAAACCACATCTTAGCGGTCGAGGTTGATACTGTAAAAGCCCTAATTTTATGACATAGATGGAAACCATGTGGGAATTGATGTGAACGGCTTGGTTTCTAATGATCTGCTACAGCAACTTATTATTCAATGAAGAAGGGAAACAAAAGCTGGTGCTTAGTGGAGATCCAATACAGGTTTGGATAGACTACGATGGTGTGAAAAATTACTCAATGTCCTCTCTCTCCTATTCGAATCGCAAAACCAGAAAGACCTCTCTTGTCACACCCCTCAATCTTCGGAAGTTTTCGGATCTATGTTGTCGGTTTCTCCAGCAACTGGCACAATTACAAGTGACCATTATATTCTAGGATGGAGCTCTCAACAAGCGGACAAGCACAAACCTTGTTTCTCCAAGCTTCCTCTGTTCCTGCACACGGGAAAGCAAGTAAGAAACTGGACTACTGATGATTGTTTTGTTGTAGTAGCAGTGGCTGTGTTGTTGATAGAGGCATTATAGCGGCTTATATTGTATGAAAAAGAAATATGAGAAGTATGTGAAGACTGGGAAAGGGAATATGTCCTCAAAGGTTCCCCTACAGAATCTCTATAAAGCACCCAAGGTTTCAAGGACAAAGAACTTATTGAAAAGGAGGTTTTGGAAGTTAGAGGCGTCCTTCCTTCTAATGAACAAATCGCAGTCAAGAGAGTCTCTCACGATTCGAAACAAGGGATGAAGGAATTTGTGGCTGAATTGTTAGCATGGGAAGGCTAAGGCATAGAACTTGGTGCAACTCCGTGGCTATTGCAGGCGAAAGGGAGAATTTATTTTGGTCTATGATTATATGCCAAACGGAAGCCTGGACAAATTATTATACAGCAATACAGACCCAATCTTAATTGGTTTCAGCGATTTCGAATCATTAGAGATAGCTTCTGGCCTTCTCTACCTCCATGAAGAATGGAACAAGTTGTTCTACATAGAGATTAAAACCGGGTAATGTTCTTTTGACGCTGAACTAAATGGGAGGTTAGGTTTTTTGGCCTAGCTAAACTATATGACCACGATAGCAATCCCAAACCACTAACCTTGTGGGAACTGTAGGTTATTTGGCTCCAGACTCATTAGAACTGGAAAGGCAACTACCAGCACGAGATGTATTTGCTTTTGGAGCTTCATGCTTGAGGTGGCTGTGAAGGAGGCCTATAGCAACAGGTTATGGAGTGGTATATTTGGTTATGGGTATCAATTGCTGGAAAAGAGGAGCTATCATCAATGCCAGTGATCCAGATTAGAAGGTATTTATGCAGAGGAGCAAATGGAGTTGGTACTGAACTAGGGCTTTTTGTTCACACCCTAACCCCGCAGCAAGGCCTAACATGAGACAGTTGATGCAGTATCTGGACGCGATGCTACATTGCCAGATATATCACCTAATGCAGTTCAATGGATGTGTTCATTAGTAATGAAGCTTATATAGTGGGATGTCATTTCCTTCATTGTTCGAAAGTAGTTCTGCGCAACCATGTCTACTTGTGATTCATCCCATGAAGGTCGTTGAATCAAATATCTTACTTGTAATGAAGCCTTTCTTTGGACTAATCATGGTACATGTAAAAAGAATATTGTTTCTAAAACTTTCTGCAGTTTCCTCAAACTGATAGTTCTTGTATCTTTTTTACTTTTATCATTTACAACTGTTGTTTTCCTTATACCTCACTGTAGTTGTGCTAATAACAATTGGTGCAGCCGTTTACCTTGTGAGGAAGAAGAAATATGAAGAAGTAAATGAAGACTGGGAAAAAGAATATGGTCCTCATAGGATCTCCTATAAGAATCTCTTCAAAGCAACCAAAGGTTTCAAAGACAAAGAGCTCATCGGACAAGGAGGTTTTGGAAAGGTTTATAGAGGTGTACTTCCTCCTTCTAATTTGCAAATTGCGGTCAAGAGAGTCACTCATGATTCAGTTGGAGGGATGAGGCAATTTGTGGCTGAGATTGTAAGCATGCGAAGACTAAGGCACAGGAATTTGGTACGACTCCTTGGCTATTGCAGGCGAAAGGGAGAACTTCTATTAGTCTATGATTATATGCCTAATGGAAGCCTTGACAAAATCTTATCAGAGGTTCCGGATTATCAGAGGAGTAGCTTCTGGCCTTTTTTACCTTCATGAAGAGTGGGAACAAATTGTTCTGCATAGAGACATAAAGCCTGCTAATGTTCTTTTAGATGTCGATCTAAATGGGAAGTTGGGAGATTTTGGCCTCGCTAGATTATATGATCAAGGCAGCGACCCACAAACCACCAACCTGGTAGGAACCATAGGTTATCTGGCTCCAGAGCTTCTTAAAACTGGAAAAGCAACCACCAGCACAGATGTATTTGCTTTTGGAGCTTTTATGCTCGAGGTTGCTTGTGGAAGGAGACCTATGGCTATGGAGCCTGGAGGGAAAGATTTGGTTGATTGGGTCACAGATTTCTTGAAAAGAGGAGCTATTATTGATGCTAGTGACCCTAGATTGGAAGGTATATACGTTAAGGAGGAAATGGAATTGGTTTTGAAACTAGGCCTCTATTGTTCAGACTCTAACCCAGAAAGTAGGCCTAGCATGAAGCAGGTGATACAGTATCTTGATAGTGGTACGATGTTACCAAATACACCACCTGGTAGCATTGTCAACGAACCTCCTGACAATGTTGTGTCATTTCATTCACTGGTGGGAAGTAGTTCTTCTTACACAACTGCTACAAATGATTCAATCCTCACAGCAGGTCGCTGAATCAAGAATTTCTTATGCAATGGCTTGATCTTTGGTCCATTCATGGCTGGGGAGTGGAGAAAAAAATGCAATGACTAAGTGAGATATTTTCTGCTCATGTAACTTCTGTGCATTTTGATAACTGGTAACATTACTTGTGTTCTTGTTGAAGATGGTGATAATTTGCTGGAAATGCAGAATTATTCAGTTAAGGTTTTAAACAGTTTTTTTGGCGTCAAGTGCTCAAGTTTCTGTTCGGGTGCAGTCGTTGAAGCTGCTGAATTTGATATATTATTGTGATGTCTTTGTGACATGTTTAGTTAAGTTTAGTTGAGATTAAGACATGTTTTGTTGTAAGATTATTTTAAATTCAAATGTGTAAAATCTAATCCACTGCATTAGGTTGTTTAGGTAAGAACAGTGGATTGATTTGTATATATGTTATCCATATTCTATGAATGAAAACAGAGCACTCATTTACAATTGCAGCCGTCCCTTTTCATTGAAAAATCTCTCTCCTTTATCACTCTCCAGTTGAACCATTTGGACTAACAGTTCTAATTAAACTCAACGAAGTATTCTGTAAAATAATCTGGTTTTCTGTTTCATAGACATCATTTTTGTGTTCTAGTTTGCTGTTACTGGAATTCAAATGGCTCCGTATCAATGTCAGAATAGGTAGCTCTTATATAACCATGAAAATGCTATGACCCCATAATCAAGAAATATGTATGTTGTAGTAGTTTTATGCAAAAGGACTCTTGCTAAGACATGACATTTATCCATCAGCATTTTGATACCTTAACTAATGCAAGGAACAGGGGCGAGTCCTCTAGTTATTTTCTCTTTGGCATGTATGCAATTGATTTATGGATTTAGCAAGTGTAATTAGAAAAGAGAGAAATTTTAGATGAAACTTCTAATAATAGGATGTAAATGTATCCTTATCTCTGTAATGCATTCATGCATTCAAATGTGTTAATAGAATTTTGTTTTAATTGATAGCGAATGGCTTCATATCAATGTCAGAATAGGTAGCTCTTATTTAACCATGAAAATACTATGACCTCATAACTGACAATCAAGAAATATCTGTCTTGTAGTAGTTTTTTCCAAAAGGAGTTTGATTAAATTAATAATTTAATGTAACAAGATTAAATTTTGTCTGACATCTCTGCTCATTATATTCTGCATATTCGAAATAAATAAACTGTTGGGGATATTCTGCTAATGCAAGTGAGATTTGAAGCACAAAGTAATCCATAATTTCCTTATGTTTGATTGTAATATCACCTAACAATTTCAGTCTCATCGGAACAAAAATAGGAAAAGTATTTGCGTTGAATCCAATTTATACAAAAGCCACCATCTTTGAAAGTTCCAACCTATAGGAGTAAGGCTGGCCGACTTTTAATAATGACTTTTAAAGGATACACCACATCAAAACCTTCATTTTCAGTGCACCTGCAGAGGGATTGAACAGCTCTGCGGTACATCGAGCCGCCGGGTTTTACTTTCAGTAACCATTTCTGCCTTGCAATACTCCACCTAAACTTCATGCTAAAAGTGTAAATACGCAGCCATCAAGACCCTAGATTCAAAATTGTTGCTGTCAAGATTGACAAGAAATGTGGTGAGCTGTCTAATTCCAGTCATCATGGATTACACATAGGTTTGAATAGAGAGAAATTTTAAATGATTAATGTTGAGGTGAGATTTTAACATCAATAAATTCGCACGTGCAAATGTTAAATAAGTCTTATAAATTATACATGATTGATTTAAGATTTAGATTAAAGTCATAGTAATATGTAAAAATTAAATAATAAATGAGACAGAAAGAATTTTATAGTAGTTCAAATGCTTAAAACGATTCTTAAATTCACTATTTTCTTTTATATGAGTGTTCTTGATTATAAGTTAAGTTATAATAGGTCGCGAACTACGAACATAAGTACAAGAGCTTGGAATTAAGAGAGAATATTAAGCTAGTCTTTTTCTCGTAAGTTGTCTTTGTTATTTGCTTTTATGAAAATCTGAGATCCCGATTTTATGAAAGGGAGTCTTCTATTTATAGCCGCTAAATTCAAAGTAATGATTACAAATTTACAAATGGGTAGGTGTCATGCAAGTCCTTCCTTACATCATATTGGCTGATAACTTAGAAACTATCCTTAAATTATATAGGGCTTGGACAGTTGTGCGGACCTTACTCATTTATAGACTAAACTTGAGCTTTGCTGAGTTGTTGCTGAGTTGGTGACAGCCGTATTCTCTCTAACTTGAGGTGATGTGGCAAATTTTAGATGACACAAAACTTTTCTAAACTTTGATCGGTACTCGCTGATATAAGCTTATGTCAGCTCTAATTTTGTAAGTATAACAATTGACATCCTCGACTCCATAAAATTAATAATACTAGAATAATATCCAAAAAACCAAGATATTAGCATATAACAAAGACATGGTTTGTTTTCAACCAAGTGGTTGAAGAACATGATATCTACAAATCGGTCTGAATTCGTTTCTTTATAGATTTGGATAGTCATGAAAAATGACAAAATTGACTTATATTGGTTGTTCGTATTTGTTGGCAGAAGATCAGATTTTTTTGTTTTTTTAGCAGGGTGACTAGGGTCAGCTTCCATGCATATCAATTAATTCTTTGGGATCTTAAAGTTGACAATCGGATAAATCTCCCTAATAATCATCCCTATTAATAATTCAGATAAATTAAATTTATAGTCTCTTGAGTAATACACCAAGAACTCTATCTAACTATTGGGCCACCAAACAGCAGTGGTTAGAAGATCAATTTTTTCTTCTTCTGGAATTCATTAAGTGATGTGAATCCAGTTTAGACCCTTGAATTGAAATCCTGAGTTGGCAGCTTAATATTTTCTCCTGTGTTCTTGCAGTCCAAGACTATACTATCATAGACATACATACATCAACATTTCAGTTTACTTTAAACAAATATTTATCTCTCAGAAATTTGAAACAACCAAACTAGCAGCAACACCTTTTCCTCTCCACGAAAGACATATTTTTCACCTTTTTTTTTTTTTTTTTCCTTTTTCAGTGATGGCTGCAGCTCTTAGATCAGTTTACGTTTGGATGATTTTCAGTTTATCCTTTATTTTCTTGTGCTCATCTCAAAATGAAAACGAGTTCATCTATAATAATGGCTTCCATGAAGCCAATCTACAACTGGATGAAATATCAATAATCCACCCCAATGGTCTATTACAGCTAACCAACACTTCTGAGAGGCAAGCAGGTCACGCTTTTTATCCATTCCCAATCAAATTCAACACATCTTCCCCTGAATCTCTTTCCTTTTCCACGAATTTTGTTTTTGCCATAGTTCCAGAATCGGTTAATATTGGTGGCCATGGCATAGCTTTTGTCATCTCACCTTCGATGGACTTCAGCCAAGCTACTGAAACTTCATATTTGGGGCTCTTCAACCCTACTAACGATGGCCGGTCTACAAACCACATATTAGCGGTCGAGGTTGATACTGTAGAAAGCCCTGAATTTTATGACATAGATGGAAACCATGTGGGAATTGATGTGAACGGCTTGGTTTCTAATGAATCTGCTACAGCAACTTATTATTCGAATGAAGAAGGGAACAACAAAAGCTTGGTGCTTATGAGTGGAGATCCAATACAGGCTTGGATAGACTACGATGGTGATGAAAAATTACTCAATGTGACTCTCTCTCCTATTCGAATCGCAAAACCAGAAAGACCTCTCTTGTCAACACCCCTCAATCTTGCTGAAGTTCTCTTGGACTCTATGTTTGTCGGTTTCTCAGCAGCAACTGGCACAATTACAAGTGACCATTATATTCTAGGATGGAGCTTCAACAGAAGCGGACAAGCACAAAACCTTGATGTCCCCAAGCTTCCTCCTGTTCCTGCACACGGGAAAGCAAGTAAGAAACTACTGATGATTGTTTTGATTGTAGTAGCAGTGCCTGTGTTTTTTATAGTATTAATTGTAGCTGCTTACATTGTATGGAAAAAGAAATATGAAGAAGTATGTGAAGACTGGGAAAGGGAATATGGTCCTCAAAGGTTCCCCTACAAGAATCTCTATAAAGCAACCAAAGGTTTCAAGGACAAAGAACTTATTGGAAAAGGAGGTTTTGGAAAGGTTTATAGAGGCGTCCTTCCTTCTAATGAACAAATCGCAGTCAAGAGAGTCTCTCACGATTCGAAACAAGGGATGAAGGAATTTGTGGCTGAGATTGTTAGCATGGGAAGGCTAAGGCATAGGAACTTGGTGCAACTCCGTGGCTATTGCAGGCGAAAGGGAGAATTTATTTTGGTCTATGATTATATGCCAAACGGAAGCCTGGACAAATTATTATACAGCAATACAGAGCCAAATCTTAATTGGTTTCAGCGATTTCGAATCATTAGAGGAATAGCTTCTGGCCTTCTCTACCTCCATGAAGAATGGGAACAAGTTGTTCTACATAGAGATATAAAACCGGGTAATGTTCTTTTAGACGCTGAACTAAATGGGAGGTTAGGTGATTTTGGCCTAGCTAAACTATATGACCACGATAGCAATCCGCAAACCACTAACCTTGTGGGAACTGTAGGTTATTTGGCTCCAGAGCTCATTAGAACTGGAAAGGCAACTACCAGCACAGATGTATTTGCTTTTGGAGCTTTCATGCTTGAGGTGGCTTGTAGAAGGAGGCCTATAGAGCAACAAGGTTATGGAGTGGTATATTTGGTTGAATGGGTAATCAATTGCTGGAAAAGAGGAGCTATCATCAATGCCAGTGATCCAAGATTAGAAGGTATTTATGCAGAGGAGCAAATGGAGTTGGTACTGAAACTAGGGCTTTTTTGTTCACACCCTAACCCCGCAGCAAGGCCTAACATGAGACAGTTGATGCAGTATCTGGACGGCGATGCTACATTGCCAGATATATCACCTAATAGCAGTTCAATGGATGTGTTCATAAATAGTAATGAAGCTTCTAATAGTGGGATGTCATTTCCTTCATTGTTCGAAAGTAGTTCTGCGCAAACCATGTCTACTTGTGATTCAGTCCTCATAGAAGGTCGTTGAATCAAATATCTTACTTGTAATGAAGCCTTGAATCAAATATCTTACTTGTAATGAAGCCTTTCTTTGGACTAATCATAGTACATGTAAAAAGAAATATTGTTTCTAAAACTTTCTGCAAGTTTCCTCAAACTGATAGTTCTTGTATCTTTTTTACTTG